ATACACATACATACAATGCCTTATCGCCAATCCAAAACAATTTAAATCACTTTACTCCCAGTGTGTTTTTGGTTGACATTATCGTACTTTTGTGTTGTATTTTATTATTAATTCTGCAAACACTACAAAGAACAAATTAATGTTGTATTGAATGTTATGTTTGTGTTGTATTAATTTATATTGAATACATTTAAACATTTCAGTTTACTCATATAAATGGTTAGCTTGTGATTGGTTTATTAGACTTGTATTGTAACATTTTACTCGTCAAGAAAAAACTCAAACTCGTTAAAGTTCTTAATGGTACTTTTCATGCTAGGACTTTTAACATATTATACAAACGAGAATTCCATGCTAAAACTACTATGATAATAAACATAAGTCATAGATTATGATTTTATAGTTTTAGTGCAGCCAAGAAATGTAGGAAAAGCAGGAGGTTTTAATTGCCATGCCAACGTGACCAACGTATCATAGTAGGAAGTGACATTTATTTATAGGGAAAATAACTATGTTCTAAACTTTATAATGATTAATCTATAAAAAGTAAACTTTAAAATTGTTTTGACTTGTATCTTATAAACTTAGTACAGTAAAAGGTTTGTTAGTAAAATTATAGTAAGTTATAAAATATATTAAAGCTTTAAAAGTTTATGCATTATCTCTGACTTACATCACTTGTTTAAATATAACTTATTCCATTAATTAATGTTAGTTATTTTTCATTTGAGTTTTCATTCAAGCACCAAATAGAATGTGTATTACAGTAAAAAAATTTAATTAAACCTTTTACAAGTACGTGTTATTTTATTTTTATTTTATCTATAGTTTTCATTATTTGTTGCAAAAGATATTACACTTTAATGTATTGCAAAAAATGTGTAAGGTACCTGCTAGGTATATTAAAATTTTATAAATACAATTACAACAAGAACAAATCATTAAATAACACCGTACATTGTAGCTATTTTCAGACTTAAAATATTACATACAATTAGTTTATGCAAAATACAGCATTCTAACAGGTTTACATAGTAATTCACCTTGAAATTAGGTATTTAAAATTAGTGTGCATTTAAATGCGGTACATTGTGTACCGTAGGCCTATATTTTCTCGTATAATCAATAATCATACTGGGGGCCCCATCGGCAAATTCGCCCGGGGCCTCTGAAGTCCTAAGTCCGGCCCTGAATAAGTCAATCCTTAGTATGTCTTTTCATTTTCATCCAAATGCTGAATTTGTGTCACAAACGCTGAATGTTTACAGCTGTTATGTTAAGCAAAGTATACACCACAAGCCAAAAGCTAGTTTATAATTTTAGCTTCGGCTGCTAGACTTTTTAAAAATTAAAACTTATTTTCCAAAAATCTGGGACCCTAAACTAAAATTATGTCTTCGATTCCCTAGTTCTTAAATTATCTTTCTTTCAACACAAAAATCATGAAAACCCGCACTGGGCTTTATTTACACCCTATATATAAATTTGAACGGATGGTGTTTTTGGCCTCTGGGGTTATCAAAACGAAAAAGTAAACCAATCTATGGTCCAGGTCTTACAGGGTCACGTACGTTAATAGCTTATTCCTTTTATGGAAAATTTCCTAAAACGTACTTGAAAGTATAAACGTCTTATGCAGTTTAAAATCAAAACAAAAGAATTGCAACGGCTGTTCATTGCCAACCAGGGAAATGCCAAAGTGTGGTACTGTATTATGCCTTAATTTCATCTTTCGATGTTCTAATTTGTTATCATTAACTTCATACAACTTACTCGCTCCACTCAACTGGCTTTCACCAATCTGAAAGCAATCCTAGTTTATTTATATTTTATTTTTTATTTTTTTGTAAAAAAACCTAGCCATATAAATCTATCCTATAGAGTTAAGGAGGGGGGGTTATGTGAACTATAATTGGTTTAACGATATAAACACACGAAAAATAATGCATTACTATTATGCTACACAGTAACTATTAAACTTAAATAATGATTTTAAATGGTTTAAAATGCCTAATTTTGTAAGCTAAATTCATATATGTAACATAAAATTCAGATAATTAGTTTTTTTGTTGTAAAACTGTAGAAACGCCCAATTTTAACTTTTTTAACGCAATATCTAGTTTAGCAAGCAGAGGAAGTCGAGGAAACTAAAAAAAAAAAAAACTAATCATAAAATCATGCATCACACAAAAGATTTCAGTTTTTGGTTTTACTGACGTACTCTGTAATTTGGAGCTAACGACACTTCAAGCCAAAAATTTACACATGTTAGGGCTGGCTAAATTATTAGTTCTAATAAAATTATATATCTAAAATGGGTACTTACTTGATCATGATTGAATTCAGTGCGTCGTGTACATCCTGTCTTGATTTTGGAAGAGGTGGCAGATTTGAACGTCTTGCATACGTGATTGCTTTACTAAAACACTTAATATCATCCTTTGTCACAGCACTAGAGTAAAAATCACTGGAACTCGCGATTTCTTGTCGTATTATTTTAGTCGGCCGCTCAGTAAGATCCTCAATGGCTTTACGTTTTACGCTGTTCCGAATAACTTCTCGGTGTAAGTTGACTGGCGGTGGATGCGAGTGGATACCTGTTGTGCCTAAAACCACACTCTCACTGTCGTCGCTATTCAATGTCGCCGTACACTTTTTATCAATACACCTCCACTTAATCCCAACATTTACCGTTTTCCGAAGCAACCTAAATTTAAAACCCTCATACACAACCAACGGATTCCCTCTCTGACCTATTATCTTTTCCATGATCTTGCCTTCACGAAACTGACCCCAAGACTGGCGTTCATGCACTATGACTAAGGGAAGTGCGTATTCCAAACAACATTCTTTAACCACCCGGTACTTCGCATACCATCTCCGAACCTCCACATAACCACCCCTTGCAGGAAATGGTAAGGAATTTACAGTTTTCTCAGAATGGATGTGTAAGGTTCAATGCCCACTGACTTTCTATGATTGTTTCTTTTGTTAAATCTTATTGGAAGAGATTATTGAGTTTTTATTCATCAAAGAGTCCATTGTAGCCACATTTAGAAACAGAGCTTACATTTTACACAAATAAAAAAAGGTAAAATCTGTGATCGCAACACACAAGTGTAACGTAAAGCTCATGATGGTTATTAATGTATTATTAAGTAATAAATGTATTATTAAATAATTGTGTACTGTGAATTTCGGAAAGTTTTATACATACCCAGTCTTCGTATGGACTTTTTGAACTTCTAAGTTAAGTTATCCTTTAAGTTACCTCCAGTTGTGAATCTTTCATTGAATTATATAATAAGGTAACATATTTCTTTTACATCTTATTAAAATTGGCGAATTTTACGTCTATGAAGAGGGTTTACATTGAATCCAGACCCAGACCAACGTTTTAGCGAATTTCCCATACATAGGGAATAAGCTATTACCGTAGGTCTCATGGTAAGACCTGGACTCACTGATTAATTTTTTTGTTTTTTTCCCCAAAGGCCGAAAACACCAAGCGTTTAAATTCATATATATATATATATATATACACCGGTATATATATTTTATGTGTATATATGTATGTCTATTAGCACGATAACTCGAGCAAAATGATCTGATTTTGATTAAATTTGGTGTGAACGTGTAAACCGTTTATTCGAACAAGTTCACAAACCAGCACGATTGAACCATGTGAACGGGGGCTTATGTATATATTATGAAAGTATAAAGTTTTGAAATTTCTTTTGAAACCACTTTGTAAAGCTTAAAAACAAATAATTCAGTATATCGAAGCGTAAAAGTGCCTTAATAGTTACAGAAAAAATGCCAAATAATTCTTATTTTTAAATTCTCATGTTATTCTTATGGAGAATAAGTGAACTGTTAAATTCCTGTAAAAGGAACATATTTTGATTAAATTGTCAAATGCATTTATTTTACACTTAACTATTGACATTTCACACTTTTTACCCTGTCTCAAACACTTTTTGATGAGTCTGTAATTGACGGGTAACCTTAATATTAAAAGTGACCACCGCGCGGAGTTGGAATTGGCCCTAAAAGTGACCACCGCGCGGAGTTGGGCTGAACCCTTCGGGGGCCATAAAACTTTTCCTCGGATTAAATTTGACCACTGCGCGGAGTTGGGCAATCCCCGCCTCATCACCCTAGAAATAAATTATGAAGATCTAAACAAACATCTGATAAGACTTTTATGTGCTCAGAACCAACCACCGTTGACTATGATAAGTAATTTATTATTATAATAGGCTGTACCGAACCGAATTTGTACCGCGTAAAATGCTGTACCGAACCGATGACGGTAATTAAGCTTGTACCGTACCGGACCGACTTTTTCGGTGCACCGCAGACCCCTAGTATTTTTTGTAGGACCATGTTTACGCGGTTACCAGCCGCCCGGTGAAACCCTCTATATGCAACTTTTTCATGCACCTGCATTGCGCTACTTAAGTAATAAGTAATAAGACTGGGACGGGTGGCGTCGTCCTGTAATCCAGCTACTGGGAGGTCACGAATTGTGGATAATTATAGGGATGCACTGTGGATGTGATGCTCCCTGGTGTGGATTAACGTCCACACTAGTGAGTACTACGTCTATCCGCAGTACTATCCTAATAATTAGAGCAATTCGTTAATTACGAGGAAAAAATGCAAAATGTGGTTCAGATTCCACAATAAACTGTAGGTCCCTTAGTTGCCATTAGCTGTATGGGCTATTAATTAACAGCTGTGTCTAAGGAACATGTCGGCCTTAGTCACTAACAAGACTACAAGATCGCGCCACTCATCCTACACTCATCCTTCACTCATATTTGGGTTGAAATACGCACATAGTGGCGTCCCCATCTTAAATAATTGATAATTGATAATTGAATAAAACATTTAGTTGTATCAGTAGCCAAGTTACTTTTAGTCATGGAACTGTAGAGAGATCGTAGGCCTACACTATAGCATGGTAAATGTTCTAAACATGTTTTGGATTGCAGATTACAACAAGCTGGACGGTTTCCAGCTGTTGAGCCTGGACCAGGTGTCGGCTACTTTGTCTCCTTGGCCTATCAAGCCTCGAGCTCCAGCTGATATTGTTGCTCCTATTGTACAACAAATAGGCACGCATCTGACAAACTTCTGTCTCCACTTGCCTCTGCAACATGGCCTAGGAGGCCCGGAGTACGTCCACACTGGGGTCTTATCTCCCCTCGGTCACTTCCTAGGTTAGTAGTGTATTCCTTTTATAATATCTAAGTAAAAACGTCTTATGAATGATAAACAGAGCAAATAAGTAAACTAGACAAAATTTTTAGTTTAGGAGAGAGATTGAGTTAAATTTTTAAAGTTTGTTTCAACAATTTGAGTTTTGTTTCAAAAATTTAATTTGTATCCTTAAATTGTGATAAATTTAACTCAACATGTTATAACAAAGTGTACAGTTATTTTTGAACAATTAAATAAAATTAGGATAACTTTTCTGCTATAACTAAAGGTCAGAATAGTTCTAAATTAAAACCTACGTTTTACATAACAGGAGACAGCCATGCTAGAAACTTTACAAACCTACTACCACCTCACATTCCTTACTATAATGTTACATAAGCCTACTACCCAGGATCACACCTAATATATACTTCTCGAACTAGAAAAACATAAAAAATCAAAGTTTACTGAAAATGATACAGATTTAATTATTAGTGGTACTAATAGAAAAGATTTGTGGCATCAAAATCAGGTGTGGTGTATGCTAATCTAAGTTATATCATTAGGAGTTTTAAGTGTGAAATTGTGTTGACTGACCTCTGCCCTACATCTACCAACAGCCTGTAATGTTATGGCTATCAGCAATGGTATGGTAGACAGACCTGTAACTCAGTAGGCCTACTATTGGCATTGTTTTTGTATGAGTAGCAACCACATTATATTTTCTTCTATCATTGACTTCGGATATTGCAAGTAGATTCACATCCTACAGTATCTATTGAAACAAATTTGAAACATTTTTTGACATGATTCTTGTATGATTATGTGAGGTGCACTGATGTAAGCAAACTATTTACTCTTATTTAAAATCAACTCATTTTACTATTGACATTAACTTTTTCTCCGTTAAATTTAGTGTTTACTTAACAAACACCTGCTTGAATAAAACCAAAGAAAATTTTTTAAATTGGTTTTTAGCGAATTTCCTATATAGGGATCAAGATATTACCGTAGGTCCCATAAGACCTAGACCCGGGACCGATTTACTTTTTTGTTTTTAGGTCCCCAGAAGCCAAAAACACCCTCCGTTCAAATTAATATATATATATATATTTATATCCCTACATATATGTGAAACCTCGAAACCAAATTCTTTCCGCCCACGTGGTTGTATAATCCCGCCCATCATCAGAATAGGTCAAGTAAAGAAATAAACAGAAATAATTTTCAATTTATTTATTTTTTTTATTACAATGCTGCAAAACAGGATAAACCCAGTTACATTGTAGCATTAATATTCTAACAACAACATCTTGACATGCATAATAAATAATAAATATTGTAAAAGTTCCTCTTGCTGAAGAAATTATAACTATTAGTGTAATCACTCACAACAATACAATAGATGAAAAAAACGAATAAATAGCAATAAATAACGTACAAATAAAAATATCTTTAAAAATAACATTGGCAATTATTTAAATATCTATAACAACAATAACGAATTAAACAAATACAAGAAAACAACTAAGTCTGAACAGAGTAATTAACTGAATAACAATAATTATTTAGAACTAATTAAATATTTAAAAACGTATTTCCTGAACGTAGTGTGACAGTTAAAAAATATGTCTATTTGATCATTATTAATTAATTGTGTTGAAAAGCCTAACCATTGAGGTGAGCAGCGAACACATTCCAAGGTTCGTTCTAGAGAAGTGGGGAGAAGAGCAAACGCGAACGTGATTTGTGTCTGGGCAACGTGAACCGCACACAGGACAGCAACGCTGCGTCATCGAGTTCACCACACACCAACCGCCTCAGATACAACATCATTGACACTTTACGCCTAGTACTCAACTGATCGATTTCAAACAGTGTGAGAAGTTCTGAGTATGGGACCAGCATCGTATAGTGACCAAATGTTTTGTAATAAAGAAATCTCAAGACCCTTCTTTGGACATCCTCTATGAGATCAGATAAATAATTCACACTAGGACACCATACCACAGATGCATATTCTAACATTGACCTGACCAGTGAACAATATAACAGTTTGATACTTCTCTGATTAGTAAAAATGTTGCCTAACCTGCGTATTAGAGAGAATGCACCAACAATTGAGAATGCAGTCTTACAAATGGAAATTACATGATCATTATATGTAAATCTGGAATCAAATGTCACACCCAAGTCTTTAATTGAAGTTTTCCTGGAAAGAAGATTATCCCCAATATTATAATTATGCATGATGAGGTTACTTGGGGTTTTCTTTGAATATGTTACAACAGAACATTTATCCACATGAAATTTTAGATTGTCACGACTCCAAAGAAACAATCGATCGAGATCATCTTGTAGCATAACATAATCTTGTTGGTTGTTAACAATAGTGAATATTTTGAGATCGTCAGCATATAGAAGAAACTCGCAGTTTATTATCAAATCTTTTAAGCTATCAATGTACAAAATAAATAGCAAAGGTCCCAAATTTGAGCCCTGGGGAACACCTGAGTCTACATAAAATTCTTCTGATAGGTGTCCCTCAAAAGATACAAATTGTTTTCGACCCCTGAGATATGAACAAAATAGTTTGATGAGTCCTTCTGAAAACCCGAAGTAGTTCAATCTCGAAATCAAAGACAGGTGATCAACCTTGTCGAAGGCCTTTTCAAAATCGGTGTAGATTACATCAACTTGATTGCCACTATCAATAACAGGAATACAAAACTCAGACAAATTTAACAGATTTGAACTAATGGATCTACTGGGGAAAAATCCGTGCTGTTTTGAAGATAGAAATTTACTGACATGGCTGAACACTTTATGATGAAGAACTGATTCAAATACTTTGACAGGAGCAGGCAAAATTGATATTGGACGATAATTCTTTATGGCGTCTCTTCGGCCCTTTTTGAAGATGGGAATTATTTTAGCTTGTTTCCATTTCGTTGGGAAAACACTGCTGGTAATCTCGAGATTAAAAATAGCTAGAAGTGGTTCAACAAACAAATCTGCACAGGCTTTGAGAATATATGGCGGTTTTCCATCTGGACCAAGAGATCTTTTAGGTTTGAGGTTTTTGAGTGCAGAGAGGACATCATGAGACGAGACACAGGAGACAGTGAGGCACGGGACGCCAGGCAGGGTCGGTGAGTGGAGCGCACGCCGACACAGGTCGTCGCTGCCCAGCTGACAAGGCTTGTACACAGACTTAAAGTAAGTAGCAAACTCGTCCGCTATGGCCCTCCCACCCTCCACGACTCTATCATCCAATTTCATAACAGTTGGGCTGTTATCATTAACTCTAAGACGTTTTACCACACTCCAAAATGTCTGAGGATTGCTCAACACATTGTTTTCTAAATTTGAAATATATTCTTTATAGGCTGACTTAATATTTACTTTAATAGTACTTCTCATCAGTTTGTATTCATTTAATGTTTAAATCATGTCATTTAATGTTTAAATCATGTTATACTTATTTAGCTTTCTCCTTAGTCTTTCTTTTCTTTTGATCAACGATATTATGTTGCGATTAAACCAAACAGGATACTTTGAAATTGATTTTTTTTGCTTTTGGAACAAACTTATTGAATACATTATATAATTTAGTATAAAAAAATCAACAGACAAATTAACATCCTCAATAAGTCTAATTTCAGTCCAGTTTATTTTTTTATTTCATTGTACAAACTTAAAAAATCTGCCTTTTAAAAATTATAGAAATAACCATTTTGATTAGGTTCGAGATCGTGATGAATACCCTTACAACCAAAACTGATAACCAAAGGTGGGTGGTACTTATCAATATTTACAAGGGGACAGCTATCAACAGTTACATCTATACTATCTATGTCTTACAACACTAAATCTAAAGTTTTACCACTTTCATTTCTAACATAATTTTTAAGATAAAGTTTTAGAATACTACAAAAAATAATAGCTGTTTGTATGCATTATTTCCCAAGGCTAAATCAAAACTTTTACCGCTAATTTGAAGATTGTAATCTCCCAACAACAAAATGTTTTCATTACTAAAGTTATAGCTGTAAAATTGTTCGTAATAATTTAAATAAACATGCAAAGGAGAATTGGGTTGAAAATAAACATTAGAAATAATTAAAAGTTTTTTGTTACGGAATTCAAGCAATAATGATACATTTTCTCCCTCATTTTCCAAATCAGACAATTTTATCACTTTAATATTAGATGCAACAGCTATCAATACCCCTCCACCTCTAGATAACCCTGTTGTACGCTGTTCACATCTATCCCGTCGAAACACCTGGTATCCGGGCGGAAACAACTCTGCGCTTTTTACAGACTCATTCAACCATGTTTCAGTCAATGCTACCACATCCCAATTATTGGCAAACATGCCTAATCTAAACGTATCAACTTTGGATCTTAAACCCCTTACGTTTTGATGATAAATACAAATTTGACTAGTCATTACTTAATATAAGACGTAGGATGAAATATTAATATAATAGTTGAAAATAAATAAGTAAAAATATTAAATAAATAAAGTAAAGACAACATGCTAAAACGTGCAATTAGGGGTAAACGTACATGCATATTCACTTGAGTTGCTCCAGATCTGCTTTCTCCGTGATGTGGATGGCATTGTCTTTATCTGTTTTCCGCAGGAAGATCTTCCCGGCACTCGTGATCCAGGCGTACTTGAAGTCATGGTCTGCTTTAAAGTTCCTCCCATCGCTCCACAACTGACGCGTCTCTCTGCCGAGCGACAAGCTGACATAGGTTGTCCCCTCGCTGTGATATCCGAGCTCCGCCACGGCAATAGATTTCTTCACCCTGGTCCGCTTACGCATTTCCTCCATGTCAAAGCGACGACAGAACTTCACTATGATATCACGCGGGAGATCGGGCTTCTTGTCATTCTTGGAAAGTCTGTGCGCGGCGTCGATCATGCTTGCGTCTAATTTAAAGTTAAGCGCGTTAGCTACCTGCTTCACCACGGAAATAATGTTCTCATCCTTTGTCTCAGGCACAC